AAAAACAAAATGGACCACACACTTGCTCATAGAACATGTTTAACTAAGTGCAAAGGAATTGAAGTTGTGCCCTGTATATTATCAGACCATAGTGCAATGAAATTGGAGATAAATAGCAAAAGAAACCGCAAGAATTTCATAAACACGTGGAAATTGAACAACACACTTCTGAATAACCAGTGGGTCACAGAGGAAATTAAAGAAGAAATCAGACAGTTCGTACAATTAAATGACAATGACAGTACAACATATTGGAATCTATGGGACACAATGAAAGCAGTCTTAAGAGGGAAATTTATAGCAGTGAATATGCATATTAGGAAAACAGAACGAGCCCAATTAAACAATCTGATGCTGAACCTCAAGCTTCAAGAAAAAGAAGAGCAGGACAACCCCAAAGCTCATAAAAAGGAGGAGAGGAAGTCCTGTCAGAATAGGTTCTTGTCTGAAGAAACATTTATTTGTACTCTTGGAGGCAGGCCTGTAGATCCTGATCCTACAGTGTGTTCTCATTCAGCTATGTAACTCAGCACCAGGCCTTTTCAGCTGGAGTTGGAGAACAATTCTACCCACCTAGGAATTCAACATATATGTAATTTCTTTAAATGTAAATAGCTTAAGTTCTAAAAAAACACAGAAAACTGTGTTGGCTGAACAGATAAAAAGGCAAGATACAATATGTTACCTGTAAGAGAGTCACTTTAGCTTTAAAGACACCCATAGGCTGAAAGTGAAAGAATGGAAAACAAAGAGGAGAGTTAAGAGATGGCGTCCAAAAGAAGATGGGAGTAGAGGTACTTATGTCAGAAAAAACCCAGATTTTTAGCCAAAATTTGTTAGGAGACAAAGAAAGTCACTTTATAACAATAAAAGAGTTAATTCATCTAGAAGAAATAACAATTATAAATGCATATACATCTAACATAGTAGGACCTAAACAAATAATGTAAATATGAACAGAACTGATGGGAAAAATAGACAGTACAATAATAGTAGAAGACTTTACTACCTCACTTTCAATAATTCATGGATTATCCAGACTGAAAATCAATGAGGAAACTGAACTTGAGTAATAGCACAGACCAAATGGACCTAACAAACATATACAGAATGTTTTAACAATAGCAGAAAACAGATTCTGCTAAAGTACACACGAACCATTCTCAAAAATAGATTATATTGTGCCACAAAATAAGTCTTAAAGTATTTAATAAGATTAAAATTAAGTATCATTTCTTCTTCCTCCTTCTCCCTTCTCCCTCTTTCTCCCTCCCTCTCCTTCATTCTCCCTCCTTCTCCCTCCTCTTCCTCCTCCTCCTCTCTCCTCTCCCTCCTCTCTCCCCCTCCTCCTATCTCCCACTCCCCCTCTCTCCCTCTTCCCCCCAGTGCTGGGAGTCAAATTCAGGACCTCCCACATGCTGGGCAAGTGCTTCTAACACTGAACTGCAGCCCCAGCTCCATATTAGGTGTCATTTCTGACCCTTAAAATAAAGAAAACACTCCACAACAATAGTTCAAACAATAAAAGGGAAATCAAAGTGTATCTTGAGACAAAAAAAGGAAACACACCATTAGAGAAACACAAATTAAAACAACTCCGAGATTTCATCTTACTCCACAAAGAATGACTGTCAAATAACAAATGCTGGTGAGGCTGCAGGGGAAAAGGAACCCTTCTACATTGTTGGCAGGAAAGTAAACTAGTACAGCCACTATGGAAAGCAGAATGATGTTCTCAAAAAACTAAAACCAGAAATTCTATTCAATCCAGCTATTCACCTTCTAGATATCTTCCCCAAAGAGTTAAAAATGTCATATAACAATGGCACATCCATACTCATGTATGTATGGATGTAGCTATTCATAATAGCTAAATCTTAGAAGCAGTCTACATGTCCATCATGGAGAAAGAAAATGTGGCATTTATACATAATGGAGCATTACTCTGTTATAAAGAAGGCTAAATTTGAATCTATAATGTTAAGTGAAATAAATCAGACACAAGCTTAAACATCATGGTTTCTCTTATATGAGAAACCCCAAATATAAATAAGGAGCGAAATAAAAGTCAATAGAAAACAGATACATCTTTTGCAAATGGAAAGGGAGTCAAGAGATGGAGGTGGGGAAGAGAGGGATGTAACAAGAATTAAGATATGTCACATGCATGTGCCAACTCCCCTCAATGAATGTGTTCATTAGGTACCACAAACATGTACTAATAAACCAGAAACAATAAACTGAAACTTGAGGGATGCATCCAAAGCAGACTAAGAGGGAAACTTTAGTGATATATGCTGAGAGAGAGAGAGAGAGAGAGAGAGAGAGAGAGAGAGAGAGAGAGAGAGGAAGGACATCTGAACAGAACCAGGAAAAAAACAATCTAAGGTCACAAACAATATGAGGAAGAAAAACAAAGCATAGAGCAAGCTGGGGCCTGTAATCCCAGAACTTGGGAGGCTGAGGCAGGAGGACCACTGCAAGTTTGAAGCCACCCTGAGCTACAGTAAATCAACGTATGGCAGTATATATAGCCATGGAAAAAGAAGAAAACAAGTCATTTGTTAGTATCCACAGCCTCTAATTCTATCTTGATCACAAAGTAGTAGTGTTCAATATTTACCTGCTAAAAAGCTTATGAAGATAACAGGCTCAATAAAGGAATGTAACTGCAACAACCAAATGTGGAACAGTAAGGGCAAGCTTTTCCATTCAAACTTTAATTATAACTTCTTGCAACGGTGAGCTTCGTTGTAACTTTTTATAAGATGTGTTCTTCCTCCTACACTGTCCTGACATTTATTTCTTTAAAAAATTGATTACTCAATACCTGATAATTAGATCCACAGTGATAATAAATGTTATATCTAAAACAGCTTAAAACACTTCCAGAGTGCCACTGACAAAGATCACATAAAAATGAAATGTGGCGCTTTCAATGCTGTCTCATGGAAGGACACGTCTTCAAAGCATCAGAGTTCAGACAAGGGCCATTTAATGGGTAGACAGATTATCAAGGTTAAAGTATTCAATGAGGGCCTTTAGACAGAGACACTCAGCGATCAAGTGGCCTACTATACCTCTTAGCTTTTCTTCCAAATACTAGATACTAAAAGAAAACCCATTTCAAAAGATTCTTAGATGTTTTCAATAGTTTCTGAGTTATATGTAGGAAGCTGTGACTTAGTTACATAGAGTAGTTAGTGTCCACCAATAAATTCAGATCGTGTTTTATATCAAAATTTAAGTTAAGAAATGATAAATTACTTGATCTTTGGTCTGATAAAGTGTCCCTCAAGTATGCTTCAGGACATTTTCTATTTTCACACCACTCATTCTAATGTTCTTCACAGGAAGAATATACAAGGACTTTCAGCAGTGAGTACACATTAGGAAAAACCTTGATATCTGGTAGATGGAGGGCTTTGTAAATGGTGGGTGGAAGCTAGATATCTTTCCCTATGTATTTGTTTGATTCTTGAATAATAAAGCTCAGCCAAGAGTATGTCATGACTGGCTAAGTCGCTTCTGTATATGTCAGCATGGTATACATCTGATGTACTGAATTAGAACTGAAAATACCAAAGATAAGCATTTAAGATCTTTGAGGTACCGTTGTGAAGAATACAACTTTAAGTTCCTAAATAATGTGTTCTGCTGTTGGCACACTTAGGGTTTTTTGTAGTAACTCTCAGAGGTTAGAGATAGTTTCCTTGCTGAGAGCTGCAAAAATTCCCAGGGAGTTTTGAAATGCCAAGTTTTTAGTTGCCAAATTTGTGGCTTCCTCAAATCCAAACTTATGATAAAATTCAATATTTTCCATCACTTCACTAACTAAATGCAGTATTGCAATAAAGCTACTGACTGAAAAGACATTATAAGTTTGCCCTGGGGATTTTTCCCAAACGCCATATAAGACAAGACATTTTTAAGTACAGAAATTGTTAACAGTGAAATCAAAATCTATAAAAAAAGAAAAAAATGTTTGGCCAACTGTAGTTATTCCATTTAATATTTGTGTTGCTATACTATCTAAACATAAAACAAGTCCTTTTAGGAGGTCCACTATGATTTCAAAAGCATCATGCCTCCTTTCCACTGAGAATGGCAAATTTCCTTCAGTTTGTTGTTTGTTGTTGTTGTTGTTCAGAAAAAGAACAGAAATTCCCTTGTCAAGTTCAAAATGCAGTTAAGGTAACTGATGGAGAAAAGAACAAACCTCATCTATTACTCCTAACACAACAGATACCCCCATAATAGGCAGTGCTTTGCCAAGATGTTTAAAGTACAAGAAGAGCAGAGTGTGTGAATACCTTGGGGATATTTCTCAAAAAATAAAGAGTAACAATCTTCCTTTTGGAAGAAAATCCACTGGACACAATTTAAGTCTGGCCATGACACCGTTCCATATTTAGTCATGATTTTTCAGTTACTGTAGTGTGACATGTCATAGTCAAAATTTCTGCATCAGCTTCATAAGGGAGGAAGTCCACAAATTCCTTTGCCAGGTTATGAGATTCACTGACAAACCTCATCAACAGAAGTAGGTGCTTCTCCCCTGCTAGATTGCTACTTTGTCGTGATAATGGAAAAGATGTCTGAATCTCTCACTTCTCCGAGAGTTTCCTTCCAAATTCAGTTCTTAGATCTCTACTATCTGTTTCTGCTGTTTTAGAACAGAGGATGTGTTAAGTTAACCTTCCTGTTTATCTGTTTTGGGAAACCACTTCTCCTAGATCTGTATAGTACTTTGTGTTGGAAAGCCAGTGTAGCTGCCTGGCCTTTTAAAAAAAAAAGATGCATTTTTTTAGCAATAAAAATTCATTACAGGAATGAATGTGGATGGTAAAGATTAATTTTTGAATTTCACAGCCATGACAGAAATGAAAGATGAGTACTAGGATCAATGTGAACATCGATCTTTGTGAAGAATTTGGTTTTGTGTAATCCAATGAAGCAGTACGAGTAAGTTAGACCTCCAATATTGTTTGCTTTCACAGGTCTATAATGACAGATCTATACTACCTCAGTCAAACAGATGGAGCAGGTGATTGGCGGGAAAAAGAAGCCAAAGATCTAACTGAGCTGGTCCAGCGGAGAATAACATATCTCCAGGTAAGAAGGTTAGGTTAAGAAGTAGATTTTGAGGACTGGGGATTTAGCTCAGTGGTGCCGCCACCTGCCTTGCAAGAGCAAGGTCCTGAGTTCGATCCCTGGTACCAAAAAAAAAAAAAAAGAAATAGATTTCGTATGGAAAAAAAGAAAATCATAACAAAACTAAAAGTAAGAATGACTGCTTATTTGTCTTCCAAGCCCTTAGGTGTTTTGCAATTACTCATTTTATATATTTATTCAGGAACACACAGTGATGCCTTGAGTGGAATACAAAGGTGGCTAAAGCAAGGTCTCTGCCTGTCTTACTTTCCTGTTGCTGAGATGAGACATAATACCCAACACCCAACTCTGAGGAGGAAAGTTTATTGGCAGAGGAGTAAGTCTGTGACTGGAAGGCAGGAAGCAGAGGGGGACAAGGGGGAGATCCTTCCAGGCCATGCTTCCAGTGACCCAGACTTCACCTCCCAACATCATATTTAGCTATAAACTAATCCATTGATGAGCATCACACTCTCATGATCCAGTCACTTCCCAGAGCCCTGAAGCACATGAGGCTTCAGGAGACATCTAAATATAAACCATAAGGTTCCCCTAAGAGAAGCTACTTTATATATACACATACACAAAAGCTATAATGCAATTATGGATATGCTACATTTTTTATAGGAGGAAAAGAAATGAAGTATTTATTGGAGTTTTGAGAAGGAAACATCAGGGGTCATTTTGTAAATGATGTATTTTTTGAACTGAACTGTAAAGGATAGGTGGAATTTGGACACATATATAGAGGAAAAGAACAGACCAGCTGGAAAATATGATGTGAACAGTACCCCATAGCCAGGAAAAAATAGTACAGGACCCCAAATGAGAAATGAGGTAATTTGGTTTGTCTAGAGGTTTAGATTGTGTGAAAAGGAGGGATGGAGAAGAAGCCAGAAAAGTAGATTTGGAAGCGGATTGCAGAGGTTAAGCTTTATGGTATATATGCAGTAAGTGCCTCATAAAAATTTTTGTTTTGTAAACATCATGATAGTAAATAGGAAATCTTTTTTTTTTTTTTTTTTGTACTGGGGATTGAACTCGGGACCTTGTGCTTGCGAGGCAGGTGGCGGAACCACTGAGCTAAATCCCTAGCGTAAATAGGAAATCTTAATTTTTGTATTGTAGTTCTTACTAATGTGTATATGTAGTCTTTATTTGTAAGGAAAGAATCTATTTACCTTTGAATTTTGTTTTTCTACTCAATATATTATAAGCCTTTTTCTATTTTTTTAATTACTATTACTTCTATTTTTTAAATTATTTCTTTAATTATGTACTTGAAGTACATAATGCTTATCCTTGTGTGGAGTCAGTACATATACATTTCTTTTTTCATTCTCTTTCCTTACTCTCCCTGGCCCTGCCTACATCTCTTGATCCCTTCCCATTTGAGAAAGCTCTGTCTCCCTGCTTTCTGTCATCTTTTATTTTGCTCTTTATTTATAATTTGGATTTCTCGTGTAAGAGAAATCATGCAGTATTTAAGCTTGTGTGTCTGGTTTCGCTTAACATTATGGTCTCAAGGTGCATTCCTTTTCCTAGAAATGACTCAGTTTTATCTTCCTTTATGCCAGAATAGCTTTTGAAAAGTTTTTACATGTAAGAGTGGCATGGTAACAGTGGTGCTTTATTTGATATTAATCTGAAAATAGTATTTTGGTTGAACTATACATTATTAGTATTTGAAGAGACTAAAAGCACAGAGATCATTTAAGATAAGAAAACACCATAGTGCAGGTGAGAAGTATTGAGATGTGTGACAGTTTGCATTGGAAATGAAGAAACAAAATTTGAGAGATTGGGAAAATGGAATTGATAAGCAGGCCTTTCCAAGTAGGCGAAAGAATTCAAATAGCTGGGAATGGGAGCATCATTAACTGACAAAGAACTGAGAGAATTGTGTTCAGGGGAAAACAGTGAATTGATAGAATTCTTTAAAACTGAAAAATGCTTAAAATTGAATGACATGGAATATCTTCCACTCCATCCTTTTCTAATGCTATTGATGGGATAATTTCTGTGTCTAGTAACTCTGCTTTCCTTTTAAGATTAAAAGCAAAATAGGAGACAGGTGACATGCTTTGGTATATTTTAAGGTGCAGATTTCCTACATGTACAAAAAAGAAAAGAAAAGAAAACTAAATGTTTAGAGATCATTAAAGGCCAACTTAGGGCTGGGGATTTAGCTCAGTGGCACCGTGCCTGCCTCGCAAGCACAAGATCCTGAGTTTGATCCCCAAACCGGGGAGGGGCGGGGGGGCCCACAACCAACTTGATCTTGGCATGCTAATCTTGGTCTCACACTCAGAGGAGTCTGTAGAATGAGAAATACTTCACCTCCGGTAGGGAAGAGCTAATTATCTCCTGTCAATTAGATCTTCATTCAATGGAGTGACTGTAAACACATGGTGTTGCAGAACCATCATCTTTATTTAAAATGAAAATAATAGTTTCTGAGCTTTTTCCATTCCCATATAGTCACTAAACTTTTACCCATTATATTTAAACTATAATGTAGTCGTAGTTCAACTCTCTCTTCTCTCTCTCTCTCATTTTTAACTGGCCAAGTCCTTTCACCTATAATACTGATTTTATCTTCTATATTCTGATTTATGTTCTATGTTAGAGAATTTTACTTATAATTCATGTTAATGATTTAAAATTACACTGACTTTTTAATCCTTTAAATTATAGCAAAACATTTTACTTGGACTTTAACTTAAACTTCAAATACTCCAATTTAACAAATTCTTTTATGCATTTTTTTTTCAATTGAAAAAGAAAAAGTGCCTTTTTAATATTCAAAGAGTTGTGGAAACTCAGTAGGAAAGCTATACTTCAAAAAAAATATTTTTTATTAAGTCTGGCAGGTTTTCATCATTTAAATATTTTATTATATTTTTGATAAATAATTTGTGTAATTCTGTAACTTTCAGTGATTGGTTTGGAAACTACTGATGAGGTATTTGAAAACATTTTCAGATTTACTTTTTTAAATTTTTATTTTTTATTAGTACATAATAATTACATTCCTCATGTGGAGTTGGTACATGTACATAACACGTCTTAATTCTTTTTTCATCTCCTTCCCCTCCCGTCCCCCTTCCCTGCAAAAGATCTTCTTATTTCCTATTTGCTATCTTTTATTTTGCTCTTTATTTATATTTTGGGTTTCCTCATATAAGAGAATGTGATATTTAAGCTTGTGTCTGATTTGGAATTAACCTAACCAAGAGAGTAAAAGACTTCTACAGCAAAAACTGCAGTACTTTTAAAAAACAAGATTGAAAAGGACACCAGGAAATAGAAAAATGTCCCCTGCTCCTGGATAGATAAAACCAATATTGTCAAAATGGCCATATTTCCAAAACTGATATATAGATCCAAAGCAGTCCCAATCAAAATACAAATAGCATTCCTCACAGAGCTAGAGAAGACAGTCATGAAGTTCATATGGAGCTAGAAGAGACCCAGAATAGCAAAAGCATATCTGGGCAACAAGAACAAAGCAGGAGGTATCATAATCTTGGATTTCAAGTTATATCCCAAAGCTTCAGTGATAAAACAGTATGATGCTGGCATAAAAACTGATATGTGGATCATTGGAACAGAATAGAGGTTGCAGAAATAACCACAGGCACATTCAACTATCTGATCTTTGAGAAAGGGGACAAAAACATAGGCTAGAGGAAAGATAGCCTCTTTACTTGATTTTTAATAGTACTAATGGAATTCATTATCAGCTCTGATTAACAAGAATAAGCATTTACTAAACATTAATTTTTCAAACTACAGTACAAAAAATAATCTATAGAACAACAACAAATAATCCATAGCAGTTAATTATAACAGGTTTCATTTTTCTTTTTCTTTCTTTTTTTTTTTTTTCCTTTGGTACCAGAGATCAAACTCGGGACCTTGCTCTTGTGAAGGAGGTGGTGGAACCACTGAGCTAAATCCCCGGCCCTAGGTTTCATTTTTAATCTAAGCCTTTCTTCCCACAATTTTACCATTCTTTGAATTGAGCCAATATCATAATTTCTCAGGAAAATTATACAGGTCAATTATAAGATGAAGTTTGATCTCATTTTTAGGTTTTCCTCTATTTATCCTGTGTCTTGGTTTTACTTGGGAAGAGCAATTGTGTAGAGATCCTGGAAATATTCTGGGCAACTAGACTTTAATGGGACAGAGTGCAAAGTTCTGTGTAGCGTTGAAGACCCTTGTAGCTTGCATAGCTGTATTATTTTCTCTGTAGAGCTGAAGCCCTTGTAGCTTTGTTTGCAAAGGTTAAACTGATTAATCTTATTAAAGACAACCCCAGATACGGTATTTGAGTCAAGTAGAATATATCAAGTAAATCTCCTAAGTTCATAGTCTTTATATATTTATCTAAAAAGTTCTTCACCCTTGTGTACCTGTAATGCAGGATTAAGCACCATTTTGTGCTAGTCTTTACTCTTCTGTTATATAACTCATAATAGGTAAATGCTGTTCTATTATTTGTATTTCACTACTTTTTCTTTATTTTTTCTCTTTTGTCAGTGCTGGGAATCAAACCTTGGACCTAGTTAATGCACAAATGCTGAGTAAGCACTCTACCGCTGGACCAGCTCTATAAGTTCTCTTGCTCTGATATTGATCATTAGGCTCATTTTTAAAACTGCATTTTGCCATATTTTCATTATGAGTCCACATTTTTACCACAGCATCTCATTTTCTTTTGAGTATTTTACATGAAAGAAATTTCTTTAGAGAATTTGTATTAAAGTTTCTAATCAGCTTGTATTTTTAAAATTAATTTTATTGGTACATTTTAGTTATACAATATAATGACATTCATCATTGGAAACTTGCACCTTTACATAATCTCTCTTGGTTCTTTTTTTTGACCCCCATTCCCCTGCCCTCCCTTCAACTTCTAATCAGTTTGTATTACACAGACACAGTATACTTCA